TGTTCTTGGCTCGTAAAGCTCGTAAAATCGTTGGCGCGACCTCAGCGGCCCTTACATGGCCCTTACGGGGAAGCTTGAAAACGGCGAGCGGCGGCATTTGTGCTCTGTATCTCCTCCGGCCCGCTCTGTATCTCGTTGTGTCGCCCTCAGGCCGTCCTACGAATGGAAGCGTCAGGTGACTCAGCGTGTCCCGTCCGTCTCCAAAAAGAGAAAAATGTCCTTGCTCTTCGACCACCTTGACTCCTGTGAACTGGCCGAGCACCTGACCTACTTGGAGTACAAATCCTTCTGCAAGATTTTGGTCAGTAGGCCCCACCCCGCGCGAGGTCGGATTCCGCCATTCGGCGCCGACCGATTCCGATAAGCGGCCGTTGTTTTTTTTTTTTTTTTTTTTTTTAGTTTCAGGATTACCACAGCTTCGTGATGCACGGCTGCACGGTGGACAACCCCGTGCTGGAGCGCTTCATCACGCTCTTCAACAGCGTCTCCCAGTGGATCCAGCTCATGGTGCTCAGCAAGCCCACGGCGCCTCAGAGAGCCTTGGTCATCTCGCACTTTATCCGAGTCGCGCAGGTCCGTCCACGAGTTCTTTTATTGACCTTTTCTTTTCGTGCGCACGTGCTAAATCATCTCAGTCATCGGCAACCTTTCCACGCTGCCGCTGCCTTATATGGCTCTCCCTGGAAGACGGAACCCGCTCATCCTTTCAGCGCAGAGCCATCCCCTTCGCGTCGCTGGAACTGATCTCGCTCCAGCCGATGCTATCGTTTTCTTCGGTCTAGTCATCTGATTTGGACGTCTTGCCCCCTCTCGCCTTCCGTCTTCCTCTTCATCTGACGTTAATGATGTTACGGAACCGCAATGCGGAAGACCCTGAGGGATCCCACAGTCTGTTAACGGCCTCCCAGTTGAAACGGCCGACCGCGTTTGGCGGCGCTCACGCTGGGACTAAAATGAAGTTGGAGCGGATTTCATTTTGAACTGGAGGCAGCACGAAGGGCAATGATGACTGAATAATTTCTCAGAGTTACCCCCCCCCCCCTCCCCCATGTCGTGTTGGATATGAAGGGCACGCGGCAACTCATTTAATTCGGTGCGGAAAGAACGCAGACTCCAATCGGGAGTGCATTTTGCCATCGCTGCGAGGCCAATACAGTCTCCCGCAAATGGATCAGCGAGCGGTCCATGAGATGGGCACGTTTGATGTCGTTGCTCAACAAGCGCAGTTTCACAGTTGATTGCAAACGGGCGACCTGAATGAGTTGATCCCCCTCAGGCGGCCCTCCGACACAGCTGCGACCGGATCGATTTCTGCAGGGTGACGTCACGCGAGCTGAAGGGCATCAGGCGCCCCCACAGAGGACCATTCGCAACTCGTTTTCAATGTTTTTTTTCGCGGGTGTCGCCCTTTCTGCTCCTAATTACTCCTTTAAAATCCCTTCTTGAAGAAAGTAGACCCAACCGTTGCTGACCTGGCGCTTCTCAACAGAAACTCCTGCAGCTGCAGAACTTCAACACGCTGATGGCGGTGGTGGGCGGCCTCAGCAACAGCTCCATCTCACGCCTCAAGGACACGCAGGCGCACATCAGCGCCGAAACCAACAAGGTGCGCCACAGATTTGCTTTGCTGCTTGTTTGATCGGCCTCACTGGATTGGGTTTTCTCAGATGTCTGTTGGCACTTTCAAATTATTCAGTGCCAGCCATTTTCAGACCCTTCTCTACCCTACCACGTGAAAAACGATTTAAAAATACATCCAGTCCAGACATACAAGGAATCGAATGCCTGGATTCTCAAACAAAAACATGAAAAATGATCCTCGGCATGGAACGAGGTCATAGCGATTCCCGCTTTGCAGGTTTTCAACAGCCTCATCGAGCTGGTGACGTCATGCGGCAACTACAGCCAGTACCGCAAGCGCTTCTCCGAAAGCTCCGGCTTCCGATTTCCCATCCTGGGTGTGCACCTGAAGGATCTGATCGCCGTGCACGTGGCGCTGCCGGACTGGACCGACAAGGGGAAGACGCGGGTCAACCTGGCCAAAACCCAACAGCTCTACGTCATCCTGCAGGTACTGGCGATGATACAGAACACGCCGCCCAACGTGGACGCCAACACGGATCTGCTGAACCTGTTGACGGTGGGTGCCGGAGGTGCGGGATGCGGGCCGTAAAAAACGCCGCGACCCGCCTCGATCGGGTTCTAATCAGCGGAGATGTGCACAGGTATCTCTGGACCAGTACCACACAGAGGAAGAGATCTACCAGATGTCTTTGCAGAGGGAACCTCGCAAGTCAGCGGTAAGCAACGGCGCCGTGGAACGACGGCCCGTGTGCAAAAGTGATACCGACGTTTTGCAGCAGAGCTCCAACCCCGCTCCAGCTCCCGACGCCAAGTCCGCCGTGATCGATGAGTGGGCGGTGTCGGTCAAGCCCAACGCTGACCCAACACTCATCAAGAAGCACATCGAGAAGATGGTGGAGGTATTCCCAAATCACAAATAACTTCTTTTCCTCGCCCGGTCGATCCACGCCTAAAATCCCCGTGCGCCACGCAGTCCGTCTTCAAGAACTTCGACACGGACGGCGACGGCCACATATCCAGGGATGAGTTTGAGGCCATCAGGAACAACTTTCCCTACCTCAGCAAGTTCGGAGAACTGGACAAGAATCAGTGAGGGAGACATCCGTCGGTTCGCAGGTGGTCGACGGAACCCGCGGTGCGCTAATCCGAGCGCCGTCCGTGCACCTGCGTCCTACAGGGACGGCAAAATCAGCCGAGAGGAGATGATCGAGTACTTCACTCGGGCCAGCTCGCTCCTCAACTGCAAGATGGGCTTCATCCACACCTTTGCCGAGGCCACCTACGTCAAGCCCACCTTCTGCGAGCACTGCGCCGGCTTTGTAAGCTTTTCTTCCTGATCCAAAAACGACTCGCTGACGCCTCGCTTTCGATCTTTCGCAGCTTCTGTTCTGCTTTTGAGTTCATTGCTCTCCATTTCGCAAAGGCTCCTTTGGCTCATACTGCAGCAACAGAGCTGCAAAGACCCCGCCGCTCATCGGCTGCTAGGTCAGCTCAGGGCCAATTATTCTAATCCGCAGCCGTAACCCGGGAAAGAAAGATAATTGTGTGTGATGATTTTTGTATGTGTGTGTGTGTGCGGCCATTGACATTTGCCATGGATGTGAGTGGGCTAATTGTCTTCTTAAAGGGCATATTTTGGATTAGGCATGCAGAAGCCCGAAGGAGACCCGTGTTTCTCAAAACAAAAGCGGGCCAAGATAAGGACACAAGTCAGCGGCACATCCGCCTTCCGTCCGTCAATAATTCTGACATCGCGTCACGTGCAACCACGCTCAGCGTCGATGCGTGCCGTGCTACGCGGCAGTTCAGCCCGACACCGCCGGAAAAAAACGCGCCGACGAAATGAACAGCGCAGCTGGTGAGCGGAAGCAATCGAGGAGAACGTTTCTTATCGTCTTGTCTTGCACGACGCACGCTGCAGCAGACGATTCCGGAAGCCGAGGGACAAAACGGCACTTCATTGTTGTCCCTGGGAGGAAAAGATAAAAGGCATCCGAGCCGAAACGACGTATTTATTTATTTATTTAGTATTGCGCACGTGCTGTGAGGAATTTTCACCGCGAGATATTCATCACAAAAATAAAAATGGTCTTCTCCGATGGGTTGCAGAGACACGAAAGGTCAGTGAGCGTCGGCGGAGTCGACCCTCCCCTCACTTTGTTGCCCGCTGTGTGTGTTGACGTGTGCGTGCGTTTGTTGTCAAAGTGTGTCGAAGAGGTCAGGGTATTTTCTGCCACCTCAGATGTTCCAGGGGCCGCGTGTGATCTCGCTTTCATGTCCCCCCCCCCCCGTGCGCCCCGACACCTCCCCTCCGGCATCCCTCTTGATGTCGTCCGCCTCCGTCCTCCAACTCTCCCACCGAGCTTTTTTTCTCATGCTGCTGGCCACGGGCTCTCTGTTCCCCTAAAACTTGAATCCTCTGGGCCTAAGTTCGACCTCGGAGCCTTGACTATTTTTCACAGGTTTTTTTTTTTTTTTTTTTTTTTTTGGGTGTGGCTAAAATATCAACCCTCCCTCCCCTCCCAAAAAATACATGACATTACCTATGCCTACCCCACCCGCGCATGCATCTTCACTTCAGATAGTCCATTGGCATTTTGGAGCGCCTCATCGTCCTCCCTGAGTGAGCGCTTCTCACAGAAAAGAAAGCAAATGTTCCATGGGGATATACTTAAGTCACCGGCGACTTCAAGTAGATACATACGGTATTTGATTGACAGTTGACCGTTGAGCAGGGCGTTGTTTGAGAGCCGAGAGAAGGGCTGGATTTGTCACCATTTCAAAAGCCTCGCTTCAAATCATTTCAAGATTTCAAAGTCCACACATCATCACATATGACTCATCTTTGGGAGAGATTGTCAACTCTGAATATTTGCCTTTATTTTCTTCTTTTTTGAAGATATGGGGCTTCTACAAGCAGGGCTACAAGTGTAAAGGTAAGTCACTCGTTCAACTCAGAAGCCAAGAGCAAACTCAGACTCACAAATATACACAAACACGCACACACGCGTTGCCTGGTGTCTCAATGAGACAAGACGACATTAATCAGAGAAGCCAAACAGCCATTCATCACAATTTTCGTCGTTTGCCAGCAATCAGAGCTCTGCAGCGTCATCTGCAGGGTGATAACTGCAATGAATATCCTCTTGTGACGTGAAGGCCTCTCTTGTTACCTTCAGCTGTCAACGCAAAGTCCAAATGATTCTTTACCAACAAAAAATAAATAAATCATGATTTCGAATTCACACATGAAAGACATGTTCAAAAATGTCCACCCCCGTCGTTCAGACTCCGCCCCCCCCCTACTTTGTAGAGTTGTTGTCTGGCCCTAATTTGCCTCGCCGTGAATTTTGCGTGAGTGCTCTTGCGTCCGCATGGCGTGTCGCAGAAACTTCCTGTCCCACTGTCTGACCTTCTCTCTCCACCCCGCCCCTCACCGTTCTGGCGTCCTTTTCCACTCGCCGCCGGGGCCGCCTCTTCCTGCCTCTCCTTCCCACCGCCCGCCCGGCACCCCTCTTCCAACAACCCTCGCTGCCGCCGCACCTTCCCTCCGCGGACTCAGCCTGCGGGGTCAACTGCCACAAGGCCTGCCGCGGCCGGCTGGCCGTCGAGTGCCGGAAGAGAGCCAAGAGCATCAGCCACGAGACGCCGCCTGCTCTCCAGGCCAGATCCTACAGCTTCCCGCCACCTGTCAACCCTCCGGTGAACCTCCAGAACGCCGGTAAGCTCGCACCCTGTTTCGGTTGACCACAAAACCAAGTCCAAACGATTTCGGGTAAGAGGCAACGATCGGGGGACTGGAGTCACATGACTCGACAACCGGTCCTCCGTCGCAACCTCAGTCCCAAACGGTGACGAGACACGACGTCAGCGAAAGGCTTCGGGGCGCCTTGAGCTTATTCAAATGAAGCCACGAGCGGAACCGTCACCCTTACGGGAGAGATCTCGCCCGGCTTAAGTGGAATTCGTCTGCTGCGTCACGGCCCTTTCATGTTATATCGCCAACAGCCACCCGCAGCGCTTTAGTCTCCCTCTTAGCATATGGTGCATTTGGAAGATATAGTCCTAAAAACAATGGAGATTCATTTGCAATGGAAATGTAATTGGCCCGCTGCGGTGATGCCACCAACACACAGACGCAGCATTTTTTTTTTTTTTTCTCATCCGACGCCAGACAAAGTGTTGCGCTGCCTCCGGCATCCGCCAGCTGGCGGCTTTTATGTCGGCGGGTTAAGCGCCGCTGCCGGCCCACCGCGACAAAGTGACAAGATAAACACACAAAAGCCCCACAATTCATTGCTTTTTTTTTTTTTTTTTTCAAATGTGACACCCCAACCAACCTTATGTCTCTGCTGTGTCTTCTTTGCTTTATCCAGTAATTGTGGAGGAGGATTTAGAGGGAGTGGAAGAAGGCATATTTGATGTTCACCTATAACAGGTGAGGAGACGACGTCACTCTTGTTTGATTGAATGCGAGAAAATGTCAAAATGCAGAATGGAATCACTGGCAAGGAGCATGGAGAAGAACTCACCCAATGTCACTTAAGGAGTCAGGGGCCGGACATCACTCACTAGGGCTCGCAGCTTTTTAAAGGCACGCTTCACACAAATACTACAGTGTTGTACGTTTTATAAAACCGCTGGAAGCACGTCTGTTCTTCTACGCCTTTAAACTTCATTCTATTTACCCTCCTCACTTTGACGTGCGTCTTCTACATTTCTTGACCGATTCTCACCCTTCCAACTTTAACAAATTCAAAAAAAAAAAATTAAAAAAAAAAATCATGCCATGTGGGCTATTATTTTTCTCACTCTCAAAATTCATAGTTTTCTCACAATTCCCCATTTTTCATTCCAAAACAATCCCCTCGAGTTCCCAATGATACATTCAACACAACATATTCCATAATTGCGATTCAAAATGTTCAGCTCATTCAAATTCACCTCGGGAATGATTTTCAACATTCCCCAAATTCGTACGGACTGCTCCCCCCACATTCCACAATGAAGATATTGCACATTTCTCACCAATATAATTTCATATTTTTCAATACCATTCTATCAGCTTCCATTTCATTCCACAGTATTCCATATTATTTCGTCATGCTTCTGTTCTTCTTCAACCTTCCTTTTTTCCCTTCTGCTTCTTCTTCTTCTGCCGATTCTTCTTCTATTTCATATTAATGGAGGGGGGGCTCAGAATTTAGCATCACTGTACTACCTTTCACATTTGACAACACTTAAATAGGATGACCCTTCTCACCCCTTTGCAGGCATCTTGAAGTTCGGAAGCTTTCAGCTGCCTTCCAGCTCGAAGAGAAGTCACAGGAAAACATTGAGTGCTGCCACACAGTGGCGGCACGCTGCTCCTGCAACACTTGCAACGGCACCTCCACTGGCCACCAACAACATGCCGGTCGGTCATTTCCTGTTTGTGGAATGTGAGCGCAAAATGTCTGCGTTGGGGCTCGGGCCGGTGTGTGGTCCATGAACAATGATATATTTGTGTCATGTGCCTTCCCCGTGCTGTTAGAGGCGCAGTGATTCACTTCGTTGCAGATAAAAACAAACAAACAAAATTAAAAAAAAAAAATCCCGGAGAACCACTTTTGACGCAACTTTTATGTTGCTGTGTTTTTCTTGTTGCACGTCAAATGATCATTTTCTGCGGAAACCGCGTGTGCGCGCGCACACACACGCACACACACACACACACACACACACACACACACACACACACACACACAC